GATCGGTACTTGGGTACTTTGCCAATTCGTGTGAGTAAAAAAGTTGTTTAATGAGAACAAGGGTAGATTGCTAAATTCATGGACACATCGTAACTCGTCAACCAATCACAAGCCTGACGCCATCTTCGCTGGGGACATTCTCTTCAATTCGTGTTTTTGGAAGTTTGCCGTGTTTAATAAAGAAAAGCATTGCATCAATTTATTACTTTTATATATGGCATGCTACTCATATCCAGTGATGCTCTCGTGGTTGCAAATCTATCAGTCCCCCCCCCCAATGGATGCTTTCTCGCTTTTGTTTTTCGGACATCGAAATCCGATCTGGCGGAAATCCATCGCTTGGCTACAGATACCCAGCTTGTAGACAAAACTTGGCGGGCTGCCCTGCATTTCAAGCTGACGGGGATAAAGGCTTGGCCCCTGTATTCCGGGGCATCCCGGTAGAACGGCAGCCGGATGCTCACTTCCGTACCGTTGCTTCGGGGGCATTCTGGGTCCGCTCCGAGTTTTGGTGCCGGCACTCTACATACCTACATACAGCACTTCAGTTTTTCACCTCAAGTCTCAGCACACATTCGATCGTACGGGGAACCAAGGTTCTCACCGAAAGCTGGCCACTTTCACTGGAGCATATGAAACTTGCCTTACCCAAGATGCCTGACGCGTGACGACTGACTGACCGTGGTTCCCTATATATGTATACTTGAATGACGTGCCATGAATCTCAACTCCCAACTCCGGGCAAAATAACATCATCCCCAGATTTTACCCGTCCAATCAGACACCCTCTATCACAAGCTGATCAGAAACGATGTCCTCTTTCTTATCTTCCCTAGCTTCGCCTCCAACCAATCAAGACTCACCAAACGATCAAATCAACACAAATTACACTTGGTCATGTCCGTCAGTGGCAAGGTTTGTGCACCCCTCCCTCCCCTCTACCGCTATCTCTGTTAGCCTCACTCCTATGTATGTACATATCCTATCCTCTTTCTATTCTAGAAGGCATTGCCCTTGTCCCCGGGTCGGATTGCGGGGTGGCTGTCTCGTCCCGCCGACCCGGAACCCCGAGATACGGAGGCATCCATAGTTAAAATAATTCATAATTGTCACCACTCCCGAGGTAAGCTAGGCTGATTTCACCTCCGCCCTCTGTTCCGATTTATACTCTTGACTGGCGAACCTGATTCTCCCGAAAGGACGATGATCTCAGTAGCGGTTCTCTGTGATTTGTAACATAGGTACCTGTTAGAGCATTGAACCTCATCTGCGTATGTTTTGCTAAGGACAAAGCAAAATCAGGCACAACATATTTTGCTAAATGCAACGCCTCCGGTTCCATAGCTCATCCGGGCATTGACGAGACTGTGTCGAAATCGCGCCTGATACAAATGGTCCCCCGTCAAGATCGGCACCAGCGGCCATCGCCAAGAGATAGCACAAAAACATTCTTATAGAAACCCCCCAAAAGAGCAAATTACCTACGCCTCTAATGTCCAAAACTCCATTGTCCCTAACCTAGCAGTGAATGATGAATGCGTCCACCGGGTATCAATAAGCCAGTAGACTCCCAGCGAAGAAACAGTATGCAGGAATAGTTGAGAGATGGAAATGAAACGCCCCTGGATCAGAAAATACATAGTTTTCCCGATTGTTCCTCTCGCGTCAGCTCATATGACAATATGTCGTGGTTTCGATAGTGCAGCATCAGCCGATATCGCCTGGGCATCGCAGGCCCTACACCTCCAACTTCACCTCCGATCTCGTCCCCCACCTGGACTGGCCCCATGGCCATTCCATGCATAGGTCGCAACGTCTTGCGATGTTCCATCTCGTCGGATCCTGTCGGTAGCACCCACTCTACTCGAAATCCGTGCTCCCATGTTCCATCATCGCGCTCCGCAGGGACAGCCCTCCGAGTCAATGTCAGAAGCACGACGCGCCCGGTTGGTGAACCGATAGCCATAAGTGAGAGCTCAGGGGCAAGCGCAATCATGTTGAGTCTGCTGGTTGCATGGAAATGTCGCCTCAGCCCTGGGTCGCGGAATCGTCCAAATTTGAGCGCGTCCGAGCAGATAACTCCAAATTCCGTCGGCAAGACTCTGCTCGGGATTGGAGAGAACGAGCGCAACTCTATATCCTTCTCGTAGGTCCGTAACAGAAACAGCTTTTTCCCGAGATCTGCCAGATATGCTTCTGGCAACTGCGGGTGCCGATTGTACTCGGGGGGTCTCCTCCAATAAGCCATCATCAATTCTGCTTTCCGGGGTGTTCGACAGACCGTGTTGCTGTGAGGAAAATATGTCATATCGAGCTTATGGGCAGCCATTGCGCTCCCATTCGTAGCATGTCCCAGATCTCCCTTGTTTTCTCCCTGATCCTCAGAGTCCTGCTGCTTGAATGTCGCATCCCAAGCATGAAGATTATCAGGAGAACTGCCAGGTGACTTGTAGGTGCTCAGACCTTGAGCCAATTCATGGGCTTGAAAATAAAAGGAACTCCAATCTGTCCCCGCGACGATAGCATCCTCCTCCGAATCGACTTCTGAGCCATCTTCCGAATCGCCCCCTTCGTCGTGTTCGTCACCGGTCTCATCCTCGGTGTCCTCGAACTCTTCCTCGCCAAGATCGCTTCCCAATAGATCTTCAGCCTGTACAACAAACCCTAGCTGAGGCATATCAGGTTCCCAAGCAAGAGGAATCATTGGGCCAGGCTGGCTTAATGGCCTCAGCATGTTGTGTGGATTATCAGGAATATTAGCTACTGCATTCCTGACGTTCACCAATGGTTGTTGACAGCTACTGCCGGCTGGGATAACTTCTAGTCGATTGGTGGGAACGCCAAATAGCTCCTCTGTCGTCTTTACCTTGAGAAAATCCCTTTCATCCAGAGCAAATATCCCCCATCCTCTGGATGGGGCAGGGTGGAACTCCTCACTTTTCAGTAGATTCGAACATAGTGGTGGAATGACTATTAGACCTCTGTTTCCTTGCCAGATATCTGCTAACCACGCAGTTCCCTTGATGTCGATTGCGCAAATTCGTTGCGCGTGGCCTCGACAGTCGTCCACAAAACAAACGTTGGGGATGTTGTCTGCACTAGGAGCCATCCGTATTACGACCCGCCAATTCCGGGTTCGTGTTGGAATATCTGATCGTGTCCTGCGGGACAAGCCTGCCCTGCGACTCGGGGGGTCTTGTGTCAGAGCCAGAGCAAAGACGACAACCTCATGCCTATTTGAGCTGACGGCGATCAGGCGAGACTTTCGATGGACAGCCAAGCCCCAAGCTGATATTCCAACATTTTCATGGAAGAATTGTTTCGGAACAGATTTGTGTGACCTGTCGCTTGTGGCACGGCATTCTTTGGCATGTTTCTCAATTTCCTTGGTGTAATATGCCACCACATCTCCGTCGTCGTAGCACGCGAGGACTATTTCTTCGTCGCCAAGGAATCCTGTGATCATATGGTTGACTGTGTGTGGCCGAGACTCGTCGAGTTGTCCACCGACTAGCTGGGCGGCAGCACTTGCTTTAGGCTTCAGTTGTAGATCAGGTTGGCTCGGAAGTGCCTGGCTCGGGGCGGCACGGGGTCTGTAGACGAATATTCGGCCTTGGTAAGCAGAGAAGTAGAGCTGGAATGTGTCGTCAGCATTGCGACAATTAAAGGGAATTGGTATGGTCGCACATTGTACACTTGAGACAGAGCAGTCAGGTTGCTCCGAAATTTCTGCATAGATGGGATCAAGCGGTATATCGAAGGCCCTGCGTTTGTCTCGTCATCGGAGTCGTTCCCAGGCCAGGTAAAGGGTAGCTCGGCGCTCTGGGGGTGCATGCCCAAAGTTACCCGCTCGCGATCACGAACTGCGGCTCTGGCGCCATCGCCAAACTGAAGGATGGCGAACAAAGCATCAGCGAAAAGAATATTCTACGCACACGAACAATACTCACCCGGTCAGTGGCAGTTTGCGCATAGCATTTCCCCACGCATATTGGCTGGAAGTTGCGCTTGTAAGGTTGTTGACTTTCCATCAGCTCTCACACAACTCATGCGCGGTAAGGTGAGATGGCCTTTGCCGAGGCGTTGCAGCTTAACAATGGCATCCAGGTGGCGGATGGATGGATGGGATTGGGTAACACCCTGCGTGCGTAAGGCGACTGATTCGCTTGATTCTCGAGGATACAATGTGATGTGATATTGCTGTCGTTCTCATGCAGAAGGCTGAATACCGGTGCTGTTACTTGGGGAAGCTGCGTGGTGATGCACAAAACAGCGCAGCACAGTACTTCCAGCTCAAACCTCGATCGTCGGTTTGCTTCTCCAAAAGGATGCAAGTGACCAAATCGAGAGTCGCGGGGTGCGGCACGTCGGTCGGTCGGTCCCTTGTTATCGATAAGGAGCCGGCGAAACCTCCACTGTAGGTAGGTAAGCTGAGATGCCGGAATGGAGTAAGGAGACGGAACACTATGTTAGTAGGTCAGCTCGGGGCTTAATTCCAGGTGCCTATATTTCATAAGATAGTTAGTATGTCAGCTTTAGAATTACCTAGGCTGAGTGATTGCGCTAGGATCATTGTGACGTTGGCATGGAGCTAACTAAGTACTAGGTATGCAGGTTGCCTTTGTTGCTAATAGTGGGTTCAACTGTCACGATCATGTCAATTGTTGGAATCGGGATACACAAAACTGATTTAGTAGGCACAAGATGTCTTTCATGGGACTTTCTAGCAGATGACGCTGACATATTGTGTGCCGATAGATAGAAATCCTGAAACTGCCAGGTTATCTATCTCTTGTGATGAAGAAGCCATATACGTAGGTCTTACAAGAAATTGGCTTGTTACAAATGTCACTCATCGATACGCACACAAACGTCCAATCCTAACAAGATCCCATTTCGCTAACAAAAGGTATATCCTCCAAAATCCACATATAAATCCCAACCAGCAATACATTCTCATTTCATCCATAGTCGTAAGGTATGTATGTATATCATTGTGCTCAAGCCGACATGAGCTCAAGCATATCCTTCATCCGATAATCAAGCACTGGAGTCTTCCAATCGTCTTGAAGTAGGCCATATCTCTCCGTTGCATTCCCCTTGGGCTTCCGGGCATTCAGCGCCCAGTATCCAAAATCAGAATCTTTGTCCTGGAGGAAACGTACTAGGTGCTGCCAGTAATTGGCGTCACCAACAGAGGGCTGCACAGGCGCCCCGATCTCGCCGACCCACACAGGGGCAATCTGTTTATCGATGATGTATCCCCAGTTATGGTGCATCGTCTTCGCGAATGAGTCGTAGTCTCGCTGAAGGAAACGGCCCTCCCAGCTCCCCCAGCCAGACCAAGCGTACACGTGTGCTGAGTATACTAGTCGGTGGGTAACGTCCAGCAGGATAGGACGTTTGCACACCTTGGACAGATCGTTGGAAGACTCAGTGCCCTCGACTATGACGAGCCAGTCCCTATTCATCTGAAGAAGTCGGTTGCCGCATCTTTCAGCAGCTGGTGCCCACTTCGACCACGGCATGGTACCCCAAAGGCCACGGATCTCATTCCTGAGATCAACACCAATGACAAGCGGGTTGTTGATGTGCGGGAGCATGATAGTCTCCCAGTGCTGGATCCATTCGTCCTCAGTCTGTCGCACCCGACACATGGGGCCCAAATGGTCGTTCGACCAGCCAGCATCACAGGGATCAGCACCGCAACACCAGGTTGCGCTGGTTATGTGGTTATTTACGATGACAGCGATGCCCGATTTAGTCAGCGTCTGAACAATAGCATGAAAGATGTCCAGTGCCCTCAGGCCGACCAGGTCGGGATTTGCGCGAAGGTGTTTTTCTTCGACAACTGGATTCTTGATGACTAACTCATCAGCATAAGGTAGCCTCACACTGTTGAAGCCTAGCTTCTTGATAGTCTTTGCAATATCATCGCGATGTTGGATATCCAAACCTCCAGTGACAAAGAACTCGTCGCTGGCACCATACCAGTTCACCGAGGCTAACTTGAAACGGCGGCCGTTGACATCTACAATATCTCGTCCTCTCGTCCGTAGAGGGAGTGTATAGTTGGTGATTTGAAGATGCTCTGGAGGCGGGGGCAACGGGCTCTGGCTGAATCGTTCGGTGGCAGCATCAGGGATCCAGCTCCGATGCAATGCGGTCTCGACCTTCCAGCGATATGCATATCCGGCTCCAAGACATAGCAATAAAGCAGCGAGGAGAATTGCGCTACTTGGACTGCGTAGACAACTAAATCTCCGTGTTCGTGTCCGGGTCCAGGATCGCCTTTGAGTTGTGGGCTTCTCGGAGTCAGCGAATCGAACACGCCGTCTGGTTTTTTTCGTCGGTCCCAATTCTTGTTCCAATTCTCCATCCTCGTTTTGATGCTCATTTTCTTCCTCCATGATACGATTCTGCTCAATATCCGTCCAATCGCCGAGTAAGTGGTTCCGTTGTTGGGAGTCGTCCACCATCGGAGTCGGAGTCGGAGAGCGGGGCCGTGTCCCGCCAAGGAAATGCGGCACGCGAAGACCTGACCACATTCTTCCACTCTGAGGCTGAAGTCACGTTTCTGAGCCTTATCGTATTCGGTTATGTATTCGAGAGTGAGCTTTAACTGAGGGTATCGATATGCTGAGCTCGATAAAGACGGTTAAAATCTTTATCTCTGGTTGGTAGGCCGTCTTAAGGGTTTTCCACGGGCTGATATAATCTGTGGTGTCTGTGTATGAACGGGCTCAAAACAAAACTTCAATGGCAGTGTTTATGAGGATATCAATCGTGTATGATGACCTTGGGAACAAGGCGGGATCAAAGACAACAAGTCATGCTGAGAGGGCTGTCTCGGAGCTATTTATCCTGCCTCGAGCCTTCAAGTACCCATGGAGCTCTTTGCCATACCAGTCCGATCGCCAAGTTATACTCAGGCCCTCCTCTTCCGGCTCATCCGGAAGAGTATGCAGGGCGTTGTGACTAATAGAGCGTGGTTGATGGAGAGTGGCCATGACACCACGCGACACGGCATTGGGCAGAGACCTCAATTCCGTCATTGGTTAGCTTAAGCTTACTTATTTGACTAATCGGCTCGCTTTCATCATTCATTCACGGACGGATATAGCGGAATTTCTCATCTTTGTAGCTTGACATTATTAATAAGTAATTGACAGCTTGTATCCCGCATTGCCGTACCGCTATGGAAATGTCATGATCATGCGCATGTCAAACAACCCAGATCAGGGAAGATGGCATGGCGGTGGTGCTTGGCATCTTCCATAAAAGCCCGTATCGCCGAACTCGAACACGACGATTCGTTCTCGGTGCCCGCATAACTCCATGGCGGTGTTCCTGAATCCGCAGCTTCCGGTACTTGACCTGCTTGGCTCCTCCATGATTCAGATCAGCTTCTGTCTTTGCCATTCCCAGCTTTTATCTTTGCCTAGCCTAGCCAATGTTGGAAACTTGGGGTTGCACTCGATCTGCAACACTGGCATCATGAACCAGCCGGCACGCAACATAAGGCGTCTTACCTCCGCCCATCCTGGCATATTCCCGCGGAAGGGCAAATGTCTGAGACAATGCCATTCTATATATGGAGTCACAGACTCACTATTACATTCCCCCACCCTCTTCCTTTGCTTTTCGTCGTGAGTCTGGTCGGCGGATTCGTCACATTGACATTTCCTCAATTGCTGTTCCTCCTTTATTTTCCCGCGTCGAACTGCAAAAGCTCAAACACCTCGCTGTCGCATTGATAGGTAGTTCCTTTTCAAGTTTGCTTAACAAAGTAAATGCAGTCGTTGGTGTCAATCTCCTAAACCTGATATGGATAGGAATTGCGGCGGACGGTCTTGATCGCTCTGCGGCCGTCATAGTTTTGGGTATCATCCGAGCCAGCGTGCAGTTTGCCGTTTCCCGGGGGTATATAGATTATATGTAAGTACATTCATGCATTAGTAGTCTCCTCTGAACTCTTTCGTATGTGTGGTCAGCCCTCGTCATGTTCGGTTCATGCCAAGGGGGTTCATCTCTTTGCTATAAGTCGGCATCGGATATGAATCTCCCGTCTCCCGCCCAGTAGGCGGAGGCCTGGGGCTCGAAAACGAACGCACTGGCGCATGGTAGCGTGCAGTCGAACCGAAGTAATCAGGAGTTCTGCGTCCACTCTCTGGGGACTTCACTGGAGTAATGGGTGTTACTGCCGCGCTCGAATCTCTTGAGAGCATCTCGTACGAACGTGGATGGTTCTTTACGTCAACGCGTGCGTCGACCGACACAAACTCCTTCTTGTTCCGAGTGAATGGCTTCTTTATCAAGTCAATCCAGCCCTGAACCATGGACCATCTTCCGAGGAAGAGGATCAGCCAGAGACCATTCAGCTATGGTTGTCAGCAAGCATTTCAACATGGTAGTACTAATAAAGGACACTTACCGCCAAGAGGAGGAGGACAGCCGTGACAGTCGCTTCGTTGATGACCAGAGAGGATGCCTCGTCTAGACAAGGTTCCTTTTTACCCTTTTCTTTGAAGAGACATTCGACGAAAGCGCCTGCTTTGGTGGGATCGTCGGCAACAGACTGAACCACGTTGTCTTGAAAGACAAAAACGACAGAGAAGAAGATGACATCAGCAATGATGATGAGCACGATGGCAATACCACGCCATTGGAGTGCAATAACTCGACGAACTCGACGGTAGACCTGCCTTGGGTTCATGGTCTTGATGCTTTGTGTATAAGTGGGCAAGCTAGAGCCCTCGGAGGATGCGCCATTGTCAGACAACGATGCCAAGTAGACCTTGATACAATAACCAAAGGTGGCAAAAGTGATGATAACGGTCAGTCCAGCGAACAGGAGAAGCGGGATCCAAAAGTCGGCCAGACTGTTCTCATGGTTGATATGGCATGTAGCACCAAAACGGAACGAGACGCCGCTGAAGACGAGAGCCAGAATTATACCCAGAATAGGGACGCCCCATCCAGCTGCCTGAGCAAAGATCATGAAGTTCTTGCCAACGAGAACTTGCCAGCATATCTGTAGGTGAAGCGATACCGACCTAAGAAATACCCACATGATGCCTGCCCAACCACCAAGAAGGAGAAAGGTACCAGAGGCGCCACAGACCTTGCTGGTCTGCATGCTATGCGGAGTGATCGTGTTGAAGCATTGCTCTGGTTGTGCCGCAAGAGGAATTACGAAACCCATCTACAGTCCAAAAATGTCAGCGACTTCAAGAGACTAGACATGCGAAGCCCATCGTGCCGTCACCTACATTCATAAGCAAAATGGCGACTGTAAGACAGATGCTCAGGTAATGGCGGTTGGTCTTTTCTACAGGCAAGAATGCCCATGATAGAAGAAGGAAGACACAGCAAATCTGGCTGAAGAGCGAAACCCAGTTCGCAACCGCCGTCAAGGTGTCGAAGCGATCGGGGTAGACCCAATCGGTCATTGGACAAGGCAGACAACACTGGATAGTTGCTACTGTTTGGCAGAGGCGCCCATCGATAACTAGACGTCTGTCAGGAGGGGTTCATTCCGTGATTCCAACTAGCAGCTCGCTTACATCCGCCCTCAGAAGGGAATAACGTGGCATCCCAAAACGGCGGAGGGCAAAGGTTGACCCCGGATGTGTTGTTGGCCATGTTGAAATGAGTAGAAGAAGCCGTTGCAAGTTGGTGTATGGGTATGCGGTGCCGGTCCTTCACAGGTCGTATTATGCCGTTAATAGATACTACTCCAAGATCGAGAACAATGAATTAGAGACTATCCAACGTCGCTCTTTTCCGTTTAGTTCCGAGGAGAGCGAGGTCGAGGTCGATGTCAAATTGATTAAGCGTTGTTATAACATAGCAAACGTTTCGCTAATAGTTCGAAGCTGTATGACCGGATGGCAGCACCGAGATGGCCTCGAGAGGGTGCACTGGTATTGCGTGCGGGACAAAGGGTAGCACAGAAAGGAATGATACAATAGAATGACGATGTAATTACACGAGAGTTGTTAAGACAGCTGGCATAACAACACCAACAGTGCGATTGGCACATAGACTCATGAGACGACCAGCGAAGACGGAGTCGCTCGCGTGAGGAGGGAGGGCACACGGGTCATATAAGTTTGAAGGAGAGGGACATGTGTGTGTATGTATGTATGCAAGTGTATTTGGCCACAACCACTACCGACCTCAAAAGCACTGACAATGGGGAATCGAGAACAAGACTTGAAGCGAGGGTGGAGGCAGCAGGGTCTGCTGCTTCTCACCACCCCTGCCAGGACAGACTGGAGAACGAAAAGGCTGTACTGTAGGTAGGAGACTTTTCTTTCTGTGCATCTGCATCTCTACCACCCATTCGGAGCATCCTGGATCAGTCATGGCATGGCATGGCATGGCATGGCAGACCAGGACCAGGGTGGTGGAAAGGGGCCAATTGGAGAGTGCTGGTAACTATACTGTTGAATATACAGGCGCTGTAGGCTGCTGAACACCAAAAATCGAAGTATCATTGGGGGATGTGGTCTGTGATGACGAGCGGGCACCAGAGCAGAGGCGGGCGACGAGGGAACGAGTGAGGTTACGGAGTACAGGGGTTGCTAAACTTGGGAATGGCCCACTCCCGTGCATCGCAAGCTTCGTGAGGCACAAGAGACAGAGACAGAGAGAGGTGAAGGGTTCCTGAACCTAGGGACTTTTGGGCGTGGTGCAGCAGAGTCTAAGTCGGCTAAGTTCACCAAGATACCAAAACGGGCATATTTTGGAACCAAGTCTGCAAGTCCACAGGGGCCAGAGGCGAGGGTTTAACTGAGCCGGAGGTTTCCAAGTGGGGCAGCGAGCAGCTTCTTGGGCGATACCCTGACGCCTGACGCCCTATACTATACTGCCTGCGGTGCCTGGCCCCGGAGGCCTGGAGGTGGAGGGGCGGGGACTCAGGGGTCATCGATGCATGTCTTGGCCGTCACGACACTCCCCGGTCTTGTTTGACTGATGAATCTGACTGACGCGACAGACGACAGGCGACAGGGACAGTCTGAAATCTTGCCTGGGAATGGGTTCTGAGCGATGAGTGATCCAACTAAATAAATGAGAACCAACGGCGCAGTGGCAGTTTAATCTTAACAGTAGACCGGTGGTGCACATACCTGACTACATACATACTATGTACGTATGTGTCAGGTTGGCCGTTGTTAGGTCTGGTCCGTGTGCTTAGCTCGCCGAGATCGACAGCAGTCAGTTATGTATCAACAGCCATGGATATCCAGTATTACCCAAGTCCTACTACATACAGTAATACTGTACCAGTAGGATCTCTCGGGTTGTTGGGTGCCATTGGGGGTTTCTTAGCCAAACAACATGTTTGACTCGATGTAGCCGTATGCATGCGAAATGACGAGTCTTCCGAGCAAGCCAACCGTCAATGTCTTACGCTCCCATCTCTACCTAATGACTGCCAACGCTCAACCTTGATTGGCTGGTCAAGAACAGT